CCTTCTGGTCCTAGCCAGGGATTGACCTGCTTAGGCCTTGCAGTTCTTTTTATCGGAGCCTGCTGGGCTCTGATTGGCTGCTCCCACAAGGCCTCTCCAGGCCTAGGGTGACCAGATAGCCAGTGTGAAAAATCAAGACGGGGTGGGAATTAGTTGCCTATATAAGAAAAAGTCCCTAATATTGGGATGGTCCTGATAATATCGGGGCATCTGGTCACCATAGACTCACCTTCACTGCTCCTTCCCAGGATATGTGTGTGTGGGGGGGGAGGCGGGGGGAGGGGGGTAGGATCGCGGGGCCTCCAGCAGGAGGCCTCGAAGGGCCTGGTACACCCCATCACACTCAATCTCCTATGTTTGTTTTATTTCCTTTCTCTTTAGAAGAAATAAGAGCACCCATCCACAGGCTCTGAGTTCCCTGCCAGTTATTTACAATTACCAAATCAGAATGCAATACCATCAAGCTCATCCTTCCACCAAGCTGCAGCTTATAGTCAAGTGCTAACACTTCGCTGTATGTTGGCCTGTAGCTCAACCCCCATACTGCTCTTCAAAGGCCATGTGAAAAAAATGGAACCTGCAATGTGCCCTGAATGCCAACAGATCCAAAAGACATGAGACTTGGGGCGGGAGGCCATTCCAGAGCTCTGTGGCCCTTGTGCAGAACACTCTCCCAGCATCCCCCTCTCTGTTATATGAAAAGGGCTCTAGCATCAACACCTCTGCTGACTGCAACCATTGCACTGTATTAAAGGGAAAGAGGTGGTCTCACAGAGGGACCTGGTACCAAGCAAGTTAGGGCTTTATGGGTTAAAATCAAAGCTTTAAAAATCTATCCAGAAGCTCTCAGGTAACCAGCATGGATCCCTGAGCACAGATGTCCATGTTCACGGTCAAGTGATCAAATGGGGTCATGCAGGAATCATTTCTGGGTCCAGTTGTGTTCAATATCTTCATCAATGGTTTAAATAATGGAATAGAGAATACACTTATAAAGTTTGCGGATGATACCACACTGGGAGGGGTTGCAAGTGCTTTAGAGGACAGGATTAAAATTCTAAATGATCTGGAAAAACTGGAGAAATGGTCTGAAGAAAATAGGAAGAAATTCAATAGCGACAAATGCAAAGTAGTTCACTTAGGAAGGAACAATCAGTTGCACACATACAAAATGGGAAATGACTGCCTAGGAAGGAGTACTGCAGAAAGGGATCTGGTGGTCAAGCTAAATATGAGTCAACACGATAACCCTGTTGCAAAAAAAGCAAACATCATTCTGGGATGTATTAGCAGGAGTGTTGTAAGCAAGACACTAGAAGTAATTCTTCCGCTCTACACCACACTGATTAGGCCTCAACTGGAGTACTGTGTCCAGTTCTGGGAGCCACATTTCAGGAAAGATGTGGACAAATTGGAGAAAGTCCAAGGAAACAAAAATTATTAAAGGTCTAGAAAACATGACGTATGAGGAATGATTGAAAAAAAACTGGGTTTATTTAATCTGGAGAAGAGAAGACAGAGGAGTCATGATAACGGTTTTCAAGTACATAAAAGGTTGTTACAAGAAGGTGGATAGAACAAGAAGCAATGGGCTTAAATTGCAGCAAGGGAAGTTTTGGTTGGACATTAGCAAAAACTTCCTAACTGTCAGGATGGTTAAGCACTGGAATAAATTGCTCAGAGAGGTTGTGGAATCTCCGTCACTGGAGATTTTTAAGAGCGGGTTAAGACAAACACCTGTCAGGGATGGTCTAGATAATATTTAGTCCTGCCATCAGTGCAGGGGACTGGACTAGATGACCTCTTGAGAGCCCTTCCAGTCCTATGATTCTATGATTGTCTATGATCTATGTACTCCCTATAGGGCATCCCTTTTCATGCACCAGTTCTAGCTTCAAAATTGCTTTAAGATGGGAAACACATGGCATATTTTGCAACGGATAATTTTCATTTTGGCCATAGGAGTGCAGTTTTGCTGCACATCAGAGGGTGCTCAGAGAGGTAAGATTTGGGGATTCTGTGCTGGGCACAAACATGCCATGCAGTGCAGCATTGTGGATTCGGGGATTCCATTGCTTCTTCCCTGGAGGAGCCCTGCAATGCACAGCCCAGCTGCTTGCTCTTTGCACTGGGCCTTTGATTTGGGCTTTACTGAGTAATCTCTCATCTGCAGAGCTGAAAGCGCTTTACAAACATTTACAAGTCTCACATTACCCCTCTCAGCCTCAGTACCATTATACAAGGCACTGATAAAACATTCCTGTCTCTACTGGAAATACCTCACCCGGTGCATTCTAGGACTGCATGAGCCTTTTTCATGGCTGCATCACATTGGCGGCTCATAGTCATCCTGCAATCAACCAATACACCCAGGTCTTTCAACTCCTTTGTCACATCCTACTGATACTTCCCCCAGCTTATAGCAAAAATTCTTGTTAGTCCCTAAAAGCATGACCTTGCACTTTGCACTATTAAATTTCACCCCATTTCTATTACTCCAGTTTACAAGATCATTCTTGTATGATATTCTGGTCCTCCTCCGTATTGGAAATACCTCCCAACTTTGTGTCATCTACAATTTTATTACCACACTCCCACTTTTTGTGCCAAGGTCATTAATTAAAATGTCAAATAAGACTGGTCCCAAGACCAATCCCTGAGGAACTCCACTAATAACCTCCCTCCAGCCTGACAGCTCACCTTTCAGCATAACTTGTCTTAGTCTCCACTTTAACCAGTTCCTTATCCACCTCTTAACTCTCATATTAATCCCCATCTTCTCCAATGTAAATAATAATTTATCAAATGCCTTACTGAAATCCAGGTAGATTAGATCTACTGCATTTCCTTTGTGTAAAAAATCAGTTATCTTCTCAAAGAAGGAGATCAGGATGGTCCGGCATGATCTACCTTTTGTAAAACCATGTTGTATTTTATCCCAATTCCCATTCACCTCTATGTCCTGTGACAAAGTTCCTCCTCTATCTTGGTGGGTCCTGCACTTATTGGTGGATTTTCTTGCCTCAGAGATTCACCATGTGGGTTGGGGAACAGCTGAGAGACCGTCCCCTCTGGGAGAACCCACAGTCCAGGTCAATTGGGAGGTTTGGGGGGAACCCAGGCCTGCCCTCTACTCCAGGTTCCAGCCCAGGGCCCTGTGGACTGTAGCTGTCTATAGTGCCTCCTGTAACAGCTGCATGACAGCTACAACTCCCTGGGCTACTTCCCCATGGCCTCCTCCAGCTTCCTTATTCTCACCACAGGACCTTCCTCCTGGTGTCTGATAACGCTTGTGCTCCTCAGTCCTCCAGCAGCACACCCTCTCAGCTCCTTGCACCTCTTGCTCCCAGCTCCTCACACTCACACCACAAACTGAAGTGAGCTCCTTTTTAAAACCCAGGTGCCCTGATTAGCCTGCCTTAATTGATTCTAGCAGCTTCTTCTTAATTGGCTCCAGGTGTCCTAATTAGCCTGCCTGCCTTAACTGGTTCTAGCAGGTTCCTGATTACTCTAGTGCAGCCCCTTCTCTGGTCACTCAGGGAACAGAAAACTACTCATCCAGTGATCAGTATATTTGCCCTCTACCAGACTCCTGTACCCCACTGGTCTGGGTCTGTCACAGTCCTTAACTACTTTCTCTTTCAAAATTTGTTCCAAGACCTTGCATACCACTGAGGTCAAACTAGCAGGCCTGTAGTTGCCCAGATCAATTCCTCCCCCTTTTCTTAAAAATAGGAACTATATTAGCAATTCTCCAGTCACAAGGTATAACCCCCTAGTTTACAGATTCATTAAAAACCCTTGCTATTGCCCTTGCAATTTCACGGGCCAGTTTCTTTAATATTCTTGGATGGAGATTATCTCCCCCGCCCCCAATTTAGTCCCATTAAGCTGTTTCTGTTTGACTTCCACCTTGGATTTGGTAATATCTACCTCCATATCCTCGTTTCCATTAGCCACCCTGCCACTACCCCTAAGCTCTTCATTAGCCTAATTAAAGACTGAGACAAAGTATTTGTTTAGGTTTTAGGCCATGCCTAGATAATCTTTAATCTCCACCCCATCCTCAGTGTTTAGCAGTCCCACTTCTTCTTTCCTTGTTTTCTTCTTATTTATATGGCTATAGAACCTTTTACTACTGGTTTTAATTCTCTTTAAGGTCCAACTCTGCTTGGCTTTTGGCAGTTCTCACTTTATCCTTACACTTTCTGACCTCCAAGAAGTAGCTTTGCTTGCTGATCCCTCCCATCTTCCATTCCTTGTAGGCTTTCTCCTTTCTCTTAATCACCTGTTTGAGATGCTTGCTCATCCAGCTTGGTCTGCAACCCTTCCCTACGCATTTTGTCTCCTTGGTTGGGATGGAGGCTTCAGGTACTTTAAGTCAAAGTTGCAGAAACTAATTCCAAGCCTCCTCCACATTTAGATCCTTGAATTCTTCAGGCCAGTCCATTTCCCTAACTAATTCCCTTAATTTTTTTAAGGTGGTTCTTTTAAAATCAAGGACCCTAGTTGCAGATCTATTTTTTGTTTATCCTTTCATTTAGTTTAAACTGAATTAGCTCATTATCACTCGAACCAAGGCTGTCCTCTACAACCGGTTCTTCTATGAAGTCCTCATGTAGCCTTTTTTCCTTACTGTATTTATCCCAGTAACAAAGCATGACAGGATTCTACAATAATGGCTCCCGAAACACTGTAATGGCTGCAGTGTCCTAGATCAATCACCATAGGGTATTGTAACATAATGCAGTCTGTGAGTTTAGTCTAATTAGTTCACTTCTTTAATTCCGAACAGAGTTAGGAAATAGCAATTTGAAAACCTGGAATTAGGACTGGGTGAAACTTTCACAAAAGAAAACCTTTTAATTTGAGTTGGTTCGTGGGTGTACAATGAGATTGACATTTACTGATAAAAATCTAATCCTTCTAAGCCTCGCTACAGGGGAAAAGAAAACAAGAGGGATTGAGGGTTTTTTTGGTTACATCCCTGACCTTCTTACCATCTCCAGCAGGTTCAAGAGCAATTGGCTGTGTTTCCTGACTATATTATACGCTCGACAGCAAAGTTCCACAAACTCTTGGAAGCGCTGTGGGGTTTTTCCACCTTCTGTGATGAAATACTCCATCTCTGAAGTGAAGATAAAAGGTGCTCGGTCCCTTGAAAAAACAAGATACAATGAAAAATGGCAAATCCTATCAGATGGTTGAGCTTTTTAACTCCCTGTTAATATTTGTTTTCCCAATCTTTCCCTTCTCATTATTTCTTCCCTCCCTTCCTCCAGGGTGGATAACTCCATGCCAGAACACCCAGTGATGCTGACTAATTGTGGCAGACACAGGTCTCTAGGTGAGATCTTCTTCGTGCACATGGTTGTGCAGCAATTTGGGGAAGCCAACAACTGAACACGATTTTTTAAAATTTATTTTTAACTCTCACTGCTTCAGTTTCCCGACTCCCTGCCTCAGAATAATGGTCTTGATCTTGACGTATATTCTCTCCTGATACTGAAATATTTAAAAGCTGTACTTGAAACAGAGTGGGATATAAATATAACTCCCTACCAGGCAAAAAGTGTATTTAAAATAAACAAAATCCCCCCAAAACCTAAGGTGCTTTTCTGCTTTTGAGTACACAACTGTGAAGGATTGGTTCTTATCTCAGCTGCACCAGAATAAATCCAGATAAACACTGTCTTTTATCCAGTTACTCTGGATTTAGACGGATGTAAAGTGCCAGCAGAATCTGGGCCCATGACTTGCTTTTTTAATAACTTGTGGATTTTGTAGCTGTGCTATGGTATTGGAAAAAGAATGAATTAGCCAGGCTTTTGCTAAAAATTCTCCCTTTTGACAGCTTCAGCACAGCCTGATATACTGTTTTATTCCAGCACAGAGAGAGCTACTGCAGGATTTTATTCCTCATAACTGTGTATACAGATATATGTAAACAGGTCAGAGAGCTATAACCCAGGTAATATACACAGTGGATTAGATTTAACCCTGAGCTAGAGGTGAGCCTGAACCAACCTCCAGAATCTAAATATTCCCAAATCTTTGGGAGATTTGAACTCCAGATACACTTTTTACAGTTTGGGGCCCTCTCTAGTTAAAAATTCATTCAAGAGGGGTCTGACCCCATTCCAGTTGCTGATTCTTCTCCACAAGAAACCTGAACATCTTCCCTACAAACAATTTCCATATCAGTATCGCCCAGCCCATTACCAGTCTCCGTAATCTTCTGCAGACACATGCTCTTTGTATGGCTGCAGTGATGAAGTTGAGTTGCATTGGATGCTCATGTTGGGGGATCACCCCAGGCAAGACTGGCAGCTTGCTTTGCATTCCTACTGCTCTGAATACTCCCCCTTTCCCACAGTTTCTGAATTAAAGCCTCCCACCAACCCTCTCTCTGCCTTTAAAAACTGTCCACATATATATAGAGCCCTACCAAATTCACGGTCCATTTTGGTCAATTTCACGGTCGTAGGATTTTAAAAATCGCAAATTTCATGATTTTAGCTATTTAAATCTGAAATTTCACGGTGTTGTAATTCTAGGGTCCTGACCCAGAAGAGGATTGTGGGGGAGTTGCAATGTTATTGTAGGAGGGTTGCAGTATTCCCACTCTTACTTCTGCGCTGCTGCTGATGGCAGCGCTGCCTTCAGAGCTGGGCTGCCGGAGAGCGGTGGCTACTGGCCGGGTGCCCAGCTCTGAAGGCAGCAGCGCAAAAGTAAGGGTGGCAACACTGTACCATGCCATCCCTACTTCTGAATGGCTGCTGGCAGCAGTGCTGCCTTCAGAGTTGGGCGCCAGTAGCTGCCGCTCTCTGGCCACCCAGCTCTGAAGGCAGTACAGAAGTAAGGGTGGCAATACTGTGATCCTCCCCCCTACAATAACCTTGCAACTCCCTCACCTCCTCTTTTTGGGTTAGGACCCCCAGTTTGGGAAACGCTGGTCTCCCCCATGAAATCTGTATAGCTTAGGGCAGTGGTTCTCAAACCGGGGGGTGGGATCCCAAAGTGGATCGTGATCCCATTTTAATGGGGTTGCCAAGGCTGGCTTAGACTTGCTGGGGCCCAGGGCCAAAGCCCAATCCCGAGGGCTTCAGTCCTGGGTGGCAGGGCTCAGGTTACAGGCCCCCCCCCGCCCCCGGGGCTGAAGCCCTTGGACTTCGGCTTCAGCCCCTCGCCCTGGAGAGGTGGGGCTTTGGCTTTGCCTCCTCCCCACCACCCTGGGTGGCGGGGCTTGGGCAGCTTCAGGCTTTGGTCCCCCCTCCTGGGATCCTGTAGTAATTTTTGTTGTCAGAAGGGGGTTGCAGTGCAATGAAGTTTGAGAACCCCTGATTTAAGGTAAAAGTACACAGAAGACCAGATTTCAGGGGGAGAGACCAGATTTCATGGTCCATGACACGTTTTTCATGGCCGTGAATTTGGCAGGGCCCTACATATAGGTGAAGTACACCTGGAAAGAACCCAGTTTGCCAAGGTTTAAGTCAAAGGGCCAAATACATTTTTTGTGTAACTTCATGGATTTTAATTGTGTTACACCAGGGGTGAAATTGAGCCCATAATATTCTCTCTTCTTTCCAATCTTTTCTGTATTGTGTAAGAAGCTGTCTCAGAACATCACTGCTGCCTTTTGGCTTTGTGATCTCTCTCTCTGGAGATTATGTGTCTCAATCTCACATTATAAAACCATGTCTATTACTGATCTCAATAAGCAATTTTTTTCCAGCCCAGTCTTTAATCCATTATTCAGCTTTTCTTAGAGACAGAAGTTATTTCCATCCCCGGCTTAACACAACTACTTCTCTTTGACATTAACCTCTAAATATTCCTGTATCATTACTGAAGGAGATTTGAACCGAGGACACTCACTGAAGTCAGCCTGGGAGATAGTCACAGAGCCAAGCCTGCAAAACCGATCATTTTCACCTAAGATTGGAGATGGGTCCAACCCCAAAACCTGGATTTCAATGCTCCTCCGTCTTTGGTGGTGTTTGAAAACCAAACCTCAATCTCAGATTTGCTGCAGGCAGGGCCGGCTCCAGGGTTTTTGCCGCCCCAAGCAGCGGGAAAAAAAAAAAAAAGCTGTGATTGTGATCAGTGGCGGCAGCTCCACCGCGCCGCTTTCCTCTTCGGTGGCAATTCTGCGGCAGGTCCTTCCCTCCAAGAGGGACCGAGGGACCCGCCGCCGAATTGCCGCCAAAGAGCCCAACGTGCCGCCCCTTCCCCTTGGCCGCCGTAAGCACCTGCTTGCTGAGCTGGTGCCTAGAGTCGGCCCTGGCTGCAGGGTCTTCTCTTTATAAGGGGCCTTGTCATATCTCCAGATATAAAGCACCCCTGTGCTCTGTGATGTTTAAAATCCGTATCTGAATTCTGAGGTTTGCATCCATCTACACCAAGAAAAAAGATATTCTGTGAAAGCACAATTATTCTAAAGCAAGGTCAAATCTCTCATATTAAATCAGCATCATGGTTATTTGAGCTGAAATCAGAAACTGCAAGTAACAGAGTTTTTTCATGGAAGACACAGTTTGGGGTACAGCATGACTTTCATATGGCACAGGGGCTGCTAGCATTAAGCAATTTTTGTAGGCTTTATTGAGCATGTAACTGGTATTTGACAGCTCTTATATGATTTGCAGCATTAGCTATGTTGCAAGAAGTTTTGAAACAGTTTACAAGGTTCTTAAATTTCTCAATTTCCTTCAAGTCTCCCTTCTAAGGTGCTGGACCTTTCCTCTTATATTCATCTGAAAAATATGATGTAGAAAATTGATTTTCTTTGGAACATTTAAGCCTGGTTTTGCCCAAGCTCTTCTGACATCACAGTCTCTCTCTTCCATGGTAACCAGATATTGAAACTCCAGGGCTGCAAGTATTTAATCCAGCTAAAAGCTCACAAAGGGAGCACCTCCCAATTAAAAAAAAATAGCAATGTGAAAAAGTATAACATAGGAGAGGAAACAAGAATCATCAATATGGGAAACAGAGGACATCTTAATTGAGATATCTTTAAAAACTAATTTTCAATGATACAAGGCTTTTAAAGGCTGTGTAAAATACATCTAAAAGGGTGAATTTCTGCATGTGTCCCTTTCAGCCTGCTGCTTTTCAGAAGCCCTGTTTGAAATATGAAAAGCATGGAGGGGAAAAAGATGCCCCATAAATGACTCCTGAACTGCAAAGTGTAAACTGTACTTTGTCAACCCATCATACATGTTCAAGTTTACATCATCAGCAACAAATGGTGACTGCTGTTTCAGTCTATATAAGGAAAAGGTAATGTCTCTTCCAGAGCTGAAAAATCACCCTCTCTATCCGTACATATATAAACACATAGCAGCAAATGAAACAGAGGAGGCATGGGAAGAGGCTTATCTGTGGGCATACACTGTCTAATGCTACTGCATATATGTTTGTTTGCCTGGCAGCTCTTTCTTCCTTGATGTGCACTGCCAGAAACTCAGTACATAGTGACATTGAATCAAAAAAATCAGCAGCTCATTAGAAGGCACAGGAATAATATCTATAACAGATATATGGCCCATTTGGATATAAATCTGCTAGGGACGGTGTTTCTATGCAGTCAACTACGCAGACCTGAACATGAAATGGCACATTTTCCAATTCACCCAAGTCCTAACACATGCTACTGTTAGTATGACATCCAGATTGTCACAGTTTCAGGGTAATTGCATCTGTTTTTACCCTCTGTGGTCCCCCATTTAAGGTTTCTGGCTCCCAGATGTCATGTCTCTTGGATGAGACCCACATCTCTCTCCTGCCTGACAGGGGCTTTAAGGCGGCACAAGTGTTGAATGACCTTGTCAGGGATTTGGAACTACCCAAGAGTAAGGCAGAGCTGTTGGGCTCCAGACTACAGCAGTGGAATCTCCTGGCAGGTGATGTTAGGGTTTCCATGTTCCGTGACCGTCAAAAGGATCTTGTCCCATTCTTTTTCATGGAAGGTGATCTTGTAGCCTGCAACAACATCGATGGTGTGATGGCAGCCCTCAACATCGTTCACGATCCAGATGAGTGGAGACTGTTCATTGATTCATCGAAGACGAGTCTTAAAGCTGTTTTACTGCATAATGGCAATGTTTTGCCATCAATTCCAGTTGGTCATGCAGTCCATATGAAGGAAACCT